GGATCAGAGGCGCTGGGGAGCTGGGCACAGGGTGGGGGAGCTGGAGAGGTGACCATGGGACTAGGGTCGGAGAGGGTTTGAGGAACTGGGCACAGGGGGGCTGGAGAGGTGGCCATGGGGTGGGCTGCTCCCCAGGGATTACAGTTGAGTCTCCTCTCACAGCTCTGGCAAGGTTGCTCCCCACAGCATGTAACTGGGGTGTTGGGTGCAGAGTGGGGAGCTGGGCACAGGGTGGGGGAGCTGGAGAGGTGACCATGGGACTAGGGTCGGAGAGGGTTTGAGGAACTGGGCACAGGGGGGCTGGAGAGGTGGCCATGGGGTGGGCTGCTCCCCAGGGATTACAGTTGAGTCTCCTCTCACAGCTCTGGCAAGGTTGCTCCCCACAGCATGTAACTGGGGTGTTGGGTGCAGAGAGAAACTCCCATGTGTAGGGAGAGTGTGTGTGTGTGTGTGTGTGGAAGGGGGACAACACATAGATATCTGCCTTGTGCGAGGGCTTTATTTTAACCTTTGCACTGATCTGTCTCGTGCTCAGTGTGTCTGGGAGTGGTGATAACAAGGTTCACTTTGAAGGTCTTATAAAAACAGCTCCTCTGTGTTGTTGGGACTTTTTCATGTTTTCAGGGAAAATCTCTTGGACATGCATTTTAGCTTGGACAAGATACAGGTGCCTAAATTTAAGTAGCTGTATTGGAGTACAAAACAGAAACTGTTACTATACAGAGTGTGTATTCCACTAGTACTGATGATGGGCTTCACTTGGGATCATTGTGCTGGAAGCTAGCTATACCTTACCTATGAAGACATAATCCCTACTCTGGAGAGTTTACTGATTAACTGATTAACCCATTCCGCTGTGGGAAAGCAGGGTTCCATTGAACTGACTCCAGAATAAATTCATTATACCGTATGCAGGACATGAACAGGGATAGGGGAAAAACAACTGTTACCAGCCCGTGTGACCACTTATCCCTTCCAAGAATAACAAGGGAAGGTGTGTAGAAACCAGGAGATGTTAAAATATGTTTATTTAGGTAAACATGGAACTGTTGAAAACTTCCGTGGTTACATATTTACATCCCGGAACGGGGGAAAAGCAGCTCCCTGTGGCGCCACAAAGCCACCTCCCCACTCATCACTTCTCCATGCTGTTGCTCAGAAGCACCCGCCAGAGGGTGGGGGCAGGAGGGAGCCACCTTCACCCCCCTGCACTGTGTGTAACTTTGAAAGTTAACTGATGAGCACATTGGTTAACTGAGTATACTTTTACACTTTCACTTCCCTAGTAGAAACCCAGTCAGCAATCTAGTGCCTTACCCATTTCCTTAGGTGGAGATTTTGATCAGAATTTGCAATTGTGTATTAATTTGGCTTTCCTTTTGTGTACTGCAGTTTACAGATGTTACCTCCCTTGCCTGGGGTTTTTCTAAGCCTGCATCATGCTATGTATGCATTTTAAGTGGTTTTTGACTCGTGCCTGCTCCTCAGCCACATTCTTCCTTCACCCTGATTACTAAAGGTGAAATACAAAATTGGTTATTTTCAATCTGGTTTTTCTCTCTGTTTTAGTGAAGATGGCAACCAAGGCCAATCCATGGGATGGGAAGACCCTGAAGCCTGAGAGTGTCAGGTCTCAACTGGAGACATCCCTTGAGAGGTTACAGATGAAGAGCGTAGACTTGTTCTACCTCCATGCCCCTGACCACAACACCCCTGTGGAACAGACACTACGTGCTTGCAATGAGCTATACAAGGAGGTAAAAACAGATGCCCAAACCTGTGAATTTGTTTACTTCTTTGGTTTTATCTAAGTTTATTTGTGGTACAGTGGTGAGGGGCAGGGAGAAGAGAAAACAGGGGCCTGTGTAAGGTCTAAACAGCCAGTACCATATACAGTAAACTTCCGATAATCCAGCACCTTTTAGACCCAGGGGGTGCCGGATTATCAGATATGCCGGACTATCAGAAGGGGGAGGCTATGAGGGGTCTGGAGTGGGGTGGGTGGGGATGCCACCCCAC